AGAAAAATACTAACAAAAACCATTGGTTTACGTTGTTTGTGTTCTCCAGGCCCCAGTTGTTCGAACGTTGGATAGCGCTGTCCACTGGATAAATCACTATCCAGCGGATTAGTATTAGGGAAAATAATTGAACTATCCACTAGATAGAGATTTATCCGGTGGATAGCGTTATCCAGCCTCATTCTCTCTTGCCAGCCTTTAAACAACCGCGGCCAGGACTTGCTGCCTTGTTGATTTTAAAATTTCTAACTAATCACATTTTTTTAAAACTACCTGAGTAAATCATCTCACATAGGATATCACCGCGATATGAAGCGGAAACGAGTCATTTCCTCCCTTCAGCATCAAATCTTATATCTCATTTTTTTAAAATAAATTTCATACATGTACATACCAACCCATTTTATTACTTAGTGCTATGCATTCTACTTCTGCTAATCTAACGAAGAAGGTGTAGATGTTAATAAATTGAAAATGGGCTATACCCTGGGTACTTGTCAAAACTTCTGAAGGTAAGTGGGCTATTGACTGGGCAGCTGGGTCTATTACGTACCAACGGCTCAATTCAGAACGCTTTTTCTCTCATCTGTTTGCCCGTTCCGTGCATTCAGATAATGGAGTGCGGAATTCAGATGGTGGGGGAGCTAAATCGTACGCGAGAGAAAAAGAGAGGAGACTGGGGCGAGAGCGAGGGTTCCCTTCCCCTTTTCCCTTTCAGTCTCCCATGGTTTATTTTCCTCGTCAATTTTTCGCCTTCGCTCTACCATCTGAACGCCAGGAACAGGCTACTCATCTGTAGATCTTTTTGCTCAGTAATTTGAATTTTCTGCTCATGGAACACTGATCCCTGCTTTTATCTCTGCTTAGCCTGTTCTAGGAGTTTAGACCGTGGGGACAGCAGGGGTGAGAGCGAACCGCCTCTCTCCTTTTCTTCCTTCGCGCCGCACTCCACTGTCCGAACAACTGGGACAGACTAATCTTTGCTGTGTTCAACGCCTGACTGTAAGATGAGACCTTTGGTTCAAGGTGGTTCACTGCAAGTGTTTTTTTCACTCCTTCCGATACTCCTGGTTCGTCTTCTACTGTTCTGTTCGTTGGTTTTTCTCTCTGATTTAAGATCAGACTCTACACCTATTGCAACCTCTCAGTGCTTTCTTTTTTTATTTCACTCCACACTCTCCGCTTCATAATACAAGCGTTCCAGTTCAACGGCGTCCTTTTTATCGGCTTTAACCAGACTAACATCAGCTCCCAGATCAACAAGCTTTTTGACAGCTTGCGCGTTACCACATCTCACTGCCATTTGAACAGGAGTTCTGCCTTCTACGTCGCGGATGTCTATATTTCGCACTCCATACTGCAGTAGGAGATCGATAATCTCATTGCCATCTTTGTGAATGAAACGAGCCGACAGGTGCAATGGTGTGAATCCATATTTATGTTGAATATTTACATCCGCTTTGTGTTCAAGTAACAATCTAATGATGTTTACGGTACCATTCATGACTGCCAAGTGTAATGCTGTATATCCATTATTATCCTGAATATTTACATCCGCGTTTACGTTGTGTTCAAGTGACAATCTCACGAGGTTTTCATCGTTCCTCAAGACTAAACGGTGCAATGGTGTATATCCATCTTTATTTTGAATATTTAAATCTGCGTTGTGTTCAAGTAGCAAGCTGATGAAGTTTTCACTACCCTTTTCGACGGACCAGCATAGTGGCGTTACCTGATGATTATTTTGAATGTTTACATCCGCGTTGTGTCCAAGCAACAATCTCACAAGATTTTCGTCACCCTTCATGACATACTGGTGCAATGGTGTAAATCCATTTTTGTCTTGAATATTTACATACGCATTGTGTTCAACTAACAATCTAACGAGATTTTTGTGGCCCCTTTCGACTGAACTTAGCAGTGGTGTAATGCCATCACTATCCTGGGTATTTACATCTGCGTTGTGTTCCAGGAATAATCTCACCAGGTTTTCGTTTCTGCTTTTGACTGCTTGGTGCAGTGGTGTAATGCCACCACTATCCTGGGCATCTACATCTGCGTTGCGTTCAAGGAATAACCTCACGAGGTTTTCGTTTCCGCTTTTGACTGCTTTGTGCAGTGGTGTATATTCATACATATCCTTGATACTTACATCTGCGTTGCGTTCAAGCAATAACCTCACCAGGTTTTCGTTTCCGCGTTTGAATGCTTGGTGCAGTGGTGTATATCCATATCTATCCTTGATATTTACATCCGCTTTGCGCTCAAGGAATAATCTCACCAGGTTTTCGTCACCTCTCATGACATACTGGTGCAATGGTGTAAAACCATTTTTGTCTTGAATATTTACATACGCATTGTGTTCAACTAACAATCTAACGAGATTTTTGTGGCCCCTTTCGACTGAACTTAGCAGTGGTGTAATGCCATCACTATCCTGGGTATTTACATCTGCGTTGCGTTCAAGGAATAATCTCACCAGGTTTTCGTTTCCGCTTTTGACTGCTTGGTGCAGTGGTGTATGTCCATATCTATCCTTGATATTTATATCTGCGTTCTGTTCAAGCAGTAACCTCACGAGGTTTTCGATTTCGCTTTTGAGTGCACTGTCTTGAATATTTACATACGCATTGTGTTCAACTAACAACCTAACGAGATTTTTGTGGCCCATTTCGACTGAACTTAGCAGTGGTGTAATGTCAACACTATCCTGGGTATTTACATCTGCGTTGCGTTCAAGGAATAACCTCACCAGGTTTTCGTTTCTGCTTCTGACTGCTTGGTCCAGTGGTGTAATGCCACCACTATCCTGGGCATCTACATCTGCATTGTGTTCAAGCAATAACCTCACGAGGTTTTCGTTTCCGCTTTCGACTGCTTGGTGCAGTGGTGTATATCCATACCCATCCTTGATATTTACATCTGCGTTGTGTTCAAGGAATAATCTCACGAGGTTTTTGTCACCCTTTATGATTGACTTGTGCAGTACTGTATATCCACTATCATCTTGGAAATTAACACCCGCATTGTATGCAAGTAATAACCTGACCAGACTCTTGTGATTATTTTTGACTGACAAGTGCAAAGGTGTGGAACCAGAATTATTCTGAAGGTTTACACCAGCCCCATGTCTTAAAAGTAAGCAAGCTGCCAAGTAGTTGTTACAATCGGCTGCTAAAATCAGAGGTGTTTCTTTTCTTCGAACGTTAACTTCGGCATTACTGTGAGCATTAACGTCGGCCCCTAGATCAATTAGGGTCTGAATGAACTGACTTGAGGATGAACGACTCGCCTGCAACAAAGGTGTGTAATCATTGTCTGACCTTCGGGCATTAATATCTACACCGCCATTTAATACAAGTTCAACTGCTAGTTCCGCATCATCACTGCATGTAGCCCACTGTGGTTCAGTCAGTTCGCGATGACCAAAAAAACGGAACTTTGAAAAGGATAAAAGGTCAAATGCAGTTTTGCCTTTAAATTCTTTGGCGTTATTTCCCGTTTTTATAAATTTCATAATTATTTCAAAGTTGTCAAAAAGGACACTTGCTTCTGAAACAATGTTGAAGTTTCCCTCCAAGACAGCCGCCTGGAGCAGATTAAATCCAGATTGTTCATCCACTTGCAAGAAAGCTGCTCTAGAGATTTTTTTCAGACTGACCTGTAATAAGATAATCATGTATTGTTACAGCCGACAAAGCCGATTATAGATCGACACAATAGATCATCGGGGTTGCCCTAATCGGCCCCTTCAGATGATACTCAGCCTCATCCAATAATTGTTAAGATGGAATCCATCAGGACATTGAGTAATTCTAATTTTTAGTGGACAAAAACTTTGTACCAGAATAATTTAAACAATATCTCATTCTTTCTTAAATTTTTCAAGGGCTATAGATGTAATGAGCTATATCAGAAACTCATAAGGGGTTGAAACGTGTAACTCTCATATGTTTGCTTTGTCCGATGCTAGTGATTATTCATTTTCGAAAATACCATACTTGGAAAGAGAAGAAAAGAAAACTGACCAATCAAACTTCGCAAACAACGTGACGTAATTTAACTTCACGTTCCCGCGCCCTGGAAAATACATAAATACCCTTTCAAAAACGTAATTTTCTTGGCCATAGAGTGCAAAATGTACCTGAAAATTCAGCAAACTTCACTGCCCCGGTTGCATTACAAAACAGACCATGCGCACCGCCGTGAAGAAAACAAGGTTGAATCCCTCGAA